ATAAAGACAAATAACAAGTGGGCAGCAGAAGACGATGAGATATTGCTATCCCTCATTACGTCTGGTAATTGGTCTTATATAGCAGAAACGATAAACACCATGCGAGCAACCGTCTCTGGCTTCAAACGCACACCATATGAGTGCTATGATCGCTGGAAATCAATTGATGACATAAGCAAATACATAATTCTAGACAATGATGCATCAAGCTCTGACAGCGAAGAGATATCCTCAGTTCTCGGTACATCTGGTGCAGGTACATCAGCGGGCACATCCTCATCAAGTCTCACATCTGGCAACAAAATAAGAAGAGAACTGCAAAGGAAAGACTCGAAAAATAAAATACCGAAATTTGATCCAGCAAAGAGCCGACGTCAGGCTAACCTGGCAGAAGCTATTAAAAAATCAGCAAAGAAGAGAGAGGAAGCCATTAGGAGACCACGTAAGCAACAACATGGATCATGCTTTAGGCTAACGTTTTGTTCTTGAAGACTTACAAAATTATTGTTGTTTACAATGTAAGATATAGCACAATCTAAGAAAACTGCAGAGACCGCAGCTTCCTCAACGAGAACACCGACACCTTTGGAATTAAGTCGACTTAAATTGGACCAAGATCGTGTACAACAGCAAGTTATACAAGAGCAGAGGCAGGCTGCTGCTCTAGCTATGCAAGGGCGGGTAAATACATAATATTTGGGAAAACCAAATTTAATATAAACTCGTTCTAATACATATTTATTGTTTGAATTTAGCAATCGTCGACCATACCTCGCCCTTCATTGCAAGGAGTTTCTCATATACCTGGTCAACTTAGCCAATCGGTCACCCGCCCCGTAGCTGCTAACACAGTCACATCAGCTAATCAACTTCACGCTCTAATGTTGCAACGACATGCACAGCAGGTACTGAGCCAGCGGGCTCCTCAACAGCAGTATTCACAAATGACCCCGGCAATAACTCAGGTTACTCAAGCTCATCCTCAACAAATAATGGCAGTACAAAACCCCCAATTTTACCCATTTTACAATCGCGTTCAAGCCCGTGCTACTCAACTGTTACAAGGCGCTCAAGCGTCGGTCACGCAGCAACAGCAGCAGCAGCAGCAGCAACAACAACAACAACAGCAACAACAGCAACAGCAACAACAACAGCAACAGCAACAACAACAATAACAACAACAACAACAACAACAACTCAAAAATTCATCTCGTGTAGATAGATATTTAACCACACTGGGAAATTGCATCCCTATTTTTCTTTTACTATCACCCTAGATTCATGTGTTTCTAATATTCGGATTAAACAGAATAAACTAAATAATACTGCAATAATCATACTTGCATTTTATTATTATCATTATAGTTACTCAGTCAAGCCAAATTTCATTTTTACATAATTTACAATTGTTGGCACTTCAGCCATAGCTCCAACTCCAGTGTCCCCACAGGCCAATTTTTTGCTCACTGGGGGAATTACTTCCATATGTAATTCATCAACAAGAACTTTCAGATGTTTTTCTGTGAATGGATGCTCCCACATATTTGTATTCATTGCTGGGGATACAATCACTTGTTTTGATTGTGGCCATGCACGAAGAATGCAGGTCTAGCAAGTGTTCAAAGAGTTGGTTAAATAAAAATGAGTATTCCAACACAAGAAAGTTTGTCAACTTACTATTAAGTTGTCACATAAACCGTTCGCTATTTTGGATAGTGTATTTGCATCCAAAGGACAGATAATGAAGACATCTGCCCAATTCCTTAACTAAATCGAGGGGGGAAATTACAAAACGCTCTTATTTCATTATTATAACGCTTCCATTACTTATGTCTACCTCAATGTGCAACACAGGATCAGACATAACATTCCATAAATTCCATTCGTCTTCGTCAGTAAGCACTGCAACCCCGGTGTCTTTTTTCAATTGTTCTCTGTCAAAAAAATGCAAAGCATGCTTCGTACTGACAACTTTCACGACTGCATTCTTACACTGTCAAAAACTATCAAGACTTAATACTAGCACCATTAGCTTTGTAATATTGATAAATATGTTAATAAACGTTCATCATCTTTACTTTACTTAATTCGCTCACAATCAGTGGAATCTTGACACTTGCTACACTCCCGGTGGCTCCAATAAGAACTTTAACCATTGTTTATGATTACCACGGACACTATTCAGATGTTGATATTCACAGAAGTTATGTTGTAAGAATGACATCACAAGAGATTACGTATACACTACGCTACTGATATAGCACACAATGGTTGAACCAACACACGCTCCGCAGTTGAGATACTATTGGCTGTCTAAACGAAATTATATTCGATCGAATCAACTCCTGCGTTTGACAAGGAGTATCTTCTTCTCTTTGATCAATATACTCAACAATAGATTAAAAAGTCAACATGTCCAGAAACGAAAGAACTTTTATTATGGTCAAGGTATGGATGAATATCTTTTTACACGAGATAGAAGCATGGGACGTTATTGAGAGAGGATTGGGTGCAAAGATACTGTTTTTAAAATTTTGAGGGGAAGAAAATTTTCAGCAAAGTACCTTTGCGTGAAGCATTCTTACGCTTTATATATCCGTGCACAATTCACCAACATCTTTATCATCTTTATTCGTTGACAGCCCGACGGGGTTGCTCGTAGCCTGACCGGTGAAGTCATCAAGCGTTTCGAGAATAAGGGCTATAAGCTTGTTGCCATCAAAATGTTGCATGTAACTATCTAGACATCTCAATATGATGAGTAAACCGAAATGTATATGTACGTACGTACTAACTGTTTATGTTATAGGCACAAAGAAGTGTTTTAGAGAAACACTACGCTCACTTGGCAGATCTCCCCAACAAGAACATTTTCCCAGAAGTCGTTAGTCGTAAGTGTATGCCCACTATTTACCTTACCCGCAACTTATCGCTGTGTAATTCAACATACTCGTGCATTCTTAGATATGACCTCTGGCCCAGTCGTTGCTATGGTCTGGGAAGGGAGAGGTGTTATTGAAGGTGGTCGCCAAATTCTCGGTGCCACTCGCCCATGGCAAGCTGCTCCTGGAACTATCCGTGCTGATTATGCTACTGATGGTAAGATTCACAAGGAAACATATGTCAACGTACACGCGCAATCTTGAATCAATGCCAATTAATGTATTTTCTTCTCGTTTCTACTTTATAGTCGGTCGTAATATTTGTCACGGGTGAGTGGAAGCAATTAACTTTATATTAACATGATTCCCAGGTAACTTTAATATTAATGTCATTGTTTCCTCTAATAGATCCGATACCGTAGAGAATGCGAACGCGGAGATAGGACTATGGTTTAACAATGAAATTGTCGAATGGAACAGAGGCAAAGTCGAAGATGCCATCTATGAATAGGTTACATCAGTTCGATACTATTTGAAAGACAAATGTAATCAAGACCTCGTTGTAAGACAATGTGAGACGTTGACGTGATTTCTTCACATTCTATTCGTTGAAGAAATGCGAGACTCCTAAATAATAAAAGGGTACTCACCTGTTTATATGCTTAAATTGTTTCCAAGTCAGCAAGCCTACTAGACAAGTTGCTTACGTTAACAATAAAGTTTAAACTCGCGCTCCGTTGCAGCATTTAACCCGAATTCACAGCAGGTTTTCCTTTTTTAACAACATCAGTATTTGATATGCTCTATGTGTATCAGTAAACTCTGTCTCGCTTAACCCAACACTGGCATACGAGCCTCCTTGTTCAGATTGAGGTTCCCACTTCTCTATGACTGCCTTGGAAGGCGTTATTAAAGAAATAAACTCGTTAAGGAGAGATGCAGATGCATATGGGTGAACTGTTGCAAGGTACTCAGTCTACAATCGGCAAAGCAATAAATGGGATTGAAATAGATCACGGGTTTTGATGAAAGATTGTAAATATATAGTCGCCATATACGACCTAACAGAATGTCTTAAGTCAATACAACTGGAGCTCTTACCTCGATAAAGATTCCGTTGTAGTTTTCATTGTGTTTTAAGTTTGCTATTCGTACTATGAAGTCACCGATTTTGTAAACATGTCCCGACTTGTCAAGAAAAGAAATAACTTTCATTCAGCATAACTATCAAAATATTTCATTTAAATTTGATTCGAATGGCGCGTACATTTTCTTACAAACCTCATCAACTGTCTTTCTTATAGACCATATATTCCTCAGTTTTGCAAGTATGGCTTCCATATCGCCTTGAGCCTCGACGATCACATTATCCACTAGACAATAATGAGTCTCATTGAAGTTTGGTGACATCGTAATACTGTACATGTTTTTTCTTTGAGGCAGCTCTTCAAGATAGAGTTTACAACGCATTTGCCATTGGCCAACATATACTCCTGGAAGCTTTTGGGTTAAAAGGTGATGGAGTTCTCTCATTGATGGCGTGCCACTTCCATCCCTCCAGCGAAGAACGCTAAGAAAAGATAACACGGGGTAGAGGACATGTCGGAAGCATGTGTGAAAAGAACAATAGTAGTGACGAGAAAAATGATTGGAAGTGTGAAGTAAAAGTGATGGTTGACAAAGAATTTAAGCTTGGATCAGGGATTTTCATACATATATTAATTGAACTAGCAATAATATTATGAAAAGTATTCATTTTATACCTGGTAACTCCCATTGCATAAAACGTCGAAGGAAAATTCTCGAGTTACCGGCGATCAACGCGACATTTACCATTTCAGCAAGTGTTAATGTCCCTCCCGGTCACATGATCTTAAAAGCTTCAAATAAAGAGACTTTCTACATTTTTTTTTAGTCGAGCAGTGTCGGCGGAATCTCAATTTAATAACACAATTAGCTGCACAATACAGTGATTATGATGATAACATATTAGTATTAGAGCCTAATTAGTAAGCGAACAATTGACACCGTTCGTTCCTTTGCTAAATTTGTCATTATTATGGCAATCTAATCTGAATACACTACGAGAAGTTGACAATTATTAATAAATGACGGCAGCAAGAATCTCACCTGCTGTACGTGTATCTGAAGCAAGAATAAGATTGTGAAAAGTAATATGTCAAACTAACCTTCAAACATCAGACAGTATTGTATGAGATGGCTGACCAGGCACAGTAAACTTTAAGGGAATTGCTATGACTATTACGAAGTAATTATTAAACCTTACTAATTAAACCTTGTATTTCTGATTAACATTATTATTAACCTAAAGAATCCGGAACCATTACTTGTAGCAAACCCCTTTAGCCCCGATGACGTAACTATTTGGGGAGACAACTGTATTAAATACAGTACCATCAATGTTTTTGAAGGATTTTGTTTTTCTATATTTAGGACAAAGGAAACGGTAATATCTAAACAACTATGCGAGGGGGGTAGGTAAAGATTGTAAACCGTGGGCTAATCAATAATTAAGGAAAACTAGTGCTATTAGAAAAACAATAGTGCTTCTAAATGGAGCTATCGGCTTTTGCCAGTCATGATGTTAAATGTAATGATACTGACTAACTCTATTCGCATGGAAATCCTTCCACAAGACAAAACGCTAAATTATTATTACTATTACTTAGGTCTACGAATTGTTCTAGCTTTACCTATTATGAAATCTACTTCATTCTTTGACATTGTTGACTTTTTCCGTATTAGTATGTAGCTATTCAAACCCCACCCCTTAAATGTTTATATGGCGTTATGTTCGTTCCCCCATTTTATATACCGATTGCTCAAATTCGAGCCCCCAGAAAATAAGATAATTTTGTCATTATCCCCATAGATTATTCTGACCTCTGCAAAAAATATCTCGTTAACCGATTCTTCCTGAAATTAGACTCGTGTTACTGGTCGAAAAACTCTCGTCTTCTCGTTGGATTACAATTCACTATCATTTGATTGGCCAATGATTATTTTCCATACCATCGACATGTAGTCAAGAAGTCTCACGTTCCTAATACAGATTGACAAACACTTTGAATGTTGGGGGCCCCAATTTAGCCGACATGCCCAAACGAACAAATAATTCTGCTGGCCCGACAAGAAAGTCCGCTCGTCTTGAGCGAAGACGACACGAGAAACACCTCCATGCCTGTCCATGCTTGCAAAAGGGTATAGTCAGCCTTACTCCGAACGCGGAAAATAAATTTCCACCAAGCCGTTGCAGGTGTGTGTTTAGCGGAATTGCCGTGTGCTTGTGTGGAGTTGCCTTATGGTTACTTGGAGGTGTTGGCTAACAAACGTCTTCGATTTCCAAGGTCAGGACTGGATTTGCAGAAAGAAATTGCAGAAATTCGGGCATACCCTATCGTATTACTGGACAATAAACGTAAATACCTAGAACGCTTTAACATTCGCCGTGTGAACATTCGGCATAGGGAGCTATCCGTCTTGGCTCCCGAACAATCAAACACGATAGTAATTAAATCGAAAAACCCCCACGATTCGGCTGGCGGATCATCCAAGTCGTCTGCAGAGGAGATTTATTTTCCGCCTCCAATAACACCTGAATACGAATCGCCGCGAGGACCATGTGATATGGACATTGATAGCAGTCCCAGTGTGACTACGAGCGATGCGAGAAATGGAGAAGAGACGTGTGCTACGATTATGTCTTCCGACAGTGATACTGACAGTCTGGGTACAGTACACAAGAAAACTGCTTCGACAATCCATTATGCCGTCAAACAACAACAAGGATGGCAGACAGAAGGATTGAGAAGTAAACATACAAACAAGACTACTCATCCGGTGATCGAAGATGCATTTTTTATTCCTCGGCATCCTAATTCTGATGTACATATACCAACCAATACACGTTACACAATCTTCGCTCTTGCTGACGGCCATGGCGGTGCCCAGGCAGCCAAGTATTTCTGTCGTCACGTACCTCGCAAAATACGCGAAATAGTGAATTCCAAAGACAAGTGGGATTTCAGAGATTCTAATGATCAAAGGATATTCAGAGAGAAGATAAAAGCCGTTCACAAGGCTTTGGATCAGAGGTTTCTTAATCTACAGAAACGGAAGTTTGTTGACTGGCAGCGCAGGGGATGTCCTGAACCCATTCCAGAAGATCAAGGCTCAACGTTGAATCTCGTGATATTGTATAACGGCGTGGCTGTCATTTCTAATCTCGGTGATTCGAAGACTGTTCTATGCAAAACCACCGTTCAACAACGACGTAGTAAAATAAAGTTACGACTAAATTTGACTTTTCAAACCGTTGATCATTCTCCTGGTCATCCTGATAAGGCCTATCATATACATAATAATGGAGGAGTATTTCGTCGTGTTGAAGATGAGAAGATAATTAAACCAAAGATTCAACCACCACCAACGCCATCATCTTTTTCTTCCGGATGTATGCAGACATCTTATAGTAAATTCTATTCTAGTCTATTAAAGGCACGTGTATGTAGACCAGAAGGATTCAAAAATTGCTACGGACTAGTAAATAACGCTTCGGTTAATATTGGCGATGCCATGGGTGATTTATACTTTAAGCTCGATCCGCCATTGTTTCAATGTGAACCGGATGTCGATTTTGTAGAATTAGAGACGGGCGTCGAGTATGTGGGTATTCTTGCCCCCGATGGATTATGGGATCATATGACTGTGAGAATGCCAGAGTTTGTAAGGAAAACAGCAAAGTACTTGGAAGAGAGGAGGATGTGTGATGAATTTGAGTACTCGAGAAAAGCAATGAGAAATAAATGCACTGGTCATAATAAAAAGGGCAAAAATAATGATAACATGGTAGTTGATGATCAGGACACGGATGAGAGTAGTAACGACAGCATTTCAGTTTGTCAGAGGAATAAAACAAAGACAATTGCCAACGGTACTACGTCAGATACTCAGTCGACTACTGTAACATCATCAAGAATTCTGTCGACAACCAGTATCAAGGAACTTGCCAAGGTGCTATGTGATAGGGAAGGAGATGCATTAGGCATATTCGAAAGAGATCAAGGGCGCTATGATGATTGTACTATAGTTGCATTTACCGTCAAGTTTGAAGAAGATTGATACATAGGGTTCTGTATTACGACCAAAATCTCGCTTTGTAAATAAAGTGACAAATATATTTTTACTCTTATTCACGCCTGCATTTTGTAAATATATACAAATTCCACTCCCCTCCACGTAATATCACTGTATTTGTAACTATAATATTACATCATTAGTTTCTTTATCTCCCTCGCCATCAGCTAAGCACTCTTCCATCTCTAATATTCCTTCTTATCCTATCAGCCAATTCTCTGTTCTTCTTAGTTATAAAACAAGTAACCTTTCCCACTCTTCCTGCTCTTGCTGTCCTCCCAACACGGTGTAAATAATCAACCACCGTCGTTGGGAAATCCATCAATACAACATGATCCACAAAAGTAGTATCGACACCTCTAGAAGCAATATCCGTACACACCAACACTTTTGCCTCCTCGGGATTGTCTTTGAACATATTTAGCTTTGCTTCTCTATTCGCTACGTCCCCATAAAGTCCAATCACAGGTATTCTCTTCGATGTTAGAAACGCTTCCACCCCTCTTGCACTCGGACGAGTATTGCAGAAGATCATAGTACGATCTGTGTGATTTTGTTTAAGAACTTCGAGAATGGCATTATGTTTATTGAAATTATAAGACTTCATGTCTACGAATGTTTGCGTCAATGTAGGAAGGACTTTATGCAAGGAAGGCGTCGTTATCTTGGTCAACCAAGAGAACTCGGCGTTGAGCATTTCATTAACAGTCTTAGGAAGTGTTGCCGATACGATTATAACCTGATACGATCTATTCTGATTCGTCGCTGATTCCTTTATATTTTTTACTATCTCCCTAACCTCATCCTCAAATCCATGTCCAAACATAGTGTCCGCTTCATCAATAACCAAATACTTTGCGTCAGCAAACGATAGAACGTTCTCCTTGGAATATTGGAGGATGCCTGCAGGTGTAGCAACAATCAAGTCAACGGGCGTTTCTAGATTACGAAATACTGTCCATCGAGGCATATGAGATGTAATAGCTACAGTGCGATATTTAGCAATATGAGAGAGTTGCTTGGCTACTGAATGTATTTGATTCACTAATTCTCGAGATGGGAGAAGCACTATTGCACGTGGACATCTTGGGCGACGAATTGAAGATTCGGGTTCATGTTTGGATTTTATTTGTTGAGGTAAATTAACGTCTGCAAAGAATGATTCATCTGGGTAAGGAAAATCCATAACGGCGTTGGTTGTTGGAGATGAAGTAAGGGATCGAGTCTGAGGAGTGGTTGAAGTTGATTGGATGGATAAATTAGATAATTCAGCATCTGGGAAGGATGTATTCATTGTTGATTGACCGACTACAGTTTCATCAACCGTAGGCTTATTATCTGTAATTGCTCTAGCATCGGCTTCTTCTTGCTTTAGTTTGTTTATTATTGGTATTAAGTACGTCAGTGTCTTGCCGGAGCCAGTTTCAGCAGCACACATAATATGTTTTTTATGATGTTTTAATATCTCGGGTATTGCGAGAGCCTGAATTTCAGTTGGTCTAAGCTTTTTCACGTGAGCAAGTGCGCCAGATCGTATTGCCTCGTAGATTTCTTCTCGCAAACCCATAGTTTCAAAAGTGACACCTTCCGCTTTTTCCATTAATTTCTGTACAGTAGATGGTTTTACTTTAGCTAATACTTTCTTCTCCTCTGCTAATATATCCTTATCTGTCTCTTTCGCGCTAGCAGCATTCTTCAACTGATCACGCATTTTCTTGACCAACTTCTCGGGTTTGGGTCTTTTTGTCGAATTCACGTCGCTTTTTGTCGAATTCACGCCTCTTTTTGTCGAATTCACGCCGCTTTTTGTCGAATTCGCGCCTCTTTTTGTCGAATTCACATCATTCTTTGTCAAATTTACATCACTCTTTATCGGCAATAACTTAAATCGTGCTGGAATATGACCACGAGTCTTGTCTGATACTGGACTCGATTTCTTACGCGACGATCGTATCTTCGTTTTGGTTCTTAATATACCTGCGCGCGGTGGTGACAGTTTTGAGCGCAGCCTTAGTCCTCTCGTTTGGATACTGATATGAATTCCTGATATCTTGCAAAGATGTTTGTAGGTGATTGTCAAGGGAGATACATGATAGAAAGCAGGTGTTCTGATCGAGTAGTTCAATAGCATACTGGAAGTAACGGGCAAAATTTTGTAGGGTCACACAAAATTTATAAACAACGTGATTATTTGCCGACGAAGCATATCAACTAGCAAATGATTCAGTCTTCTCCGCGATCAAAGCTTCCGTAAGAAAGCTGTCATTAACAAACTCGACGATGTTTTTAGCGCCGCTCCTTCAATACCAAGCCATTTACAGTCAAAGCTCGTTATAATGGATAGTTCCAAGAAAGATGACGGAGTTCGAACCTTGATGTTGGCCGAATTTTTCAACACATTACAGCATAAAGAATTAAGCCCAGAGTTTTTTCTTACCGACAAAGATTTTGCACAAATAAAAGATGGCTCGATTCCAAAAATAATGGTGTTACACATACACGTGGTTTATTACGTCCATGGAATTTATATATCATCAATTTTTCAGTTAATATTAAAAGAAAGGAACAACCTCTCATAAAGAACGTTTTTTCATGGGACGGATGTGATTTATTAGTAAATTTCCCTGTATAAAAGAAGGAACAAGAACATAATTTTGTAGAACGCTTACAATTAAATTAGTCTAACTAGAAAAGATATAAAGAGCAGTTGGCAGATGAAGACTTTGATATAGAAAAACAGCAGTTACTTAGAAGAAGGCTATATGATTATGAAAAATTTCAAAAAAAACAGGTATTGCTGACCGATACTTTGTTAGTAATACTAGTATTTGATTGGTTCGAGATATATTATAAATATTTTGTTGAGGAAACTCTATCAGAGAACACCTCTAATCATGGAACATAATTTGGCTATCTCGGACGAACGCCCAGGCGATATGTTAGTTGAGGCTCAGTGGAAGGTTATAAAGAGAGATTACTTTTCCGACCAAGCTTAAAGACTTTATTACAGCACGTGTGCTCAGTTAATCTCACCAGACCGGGGAATTATTTTGCGCTTGACGAAGCGTTAGAAAGGTTTGGGGTGCTGTACGTGAAGCAAAACATTAAAGCAACTCTGGGAGGTATGAATAAGCTAAAAAGCAAAATACGTTCCATACAGTCAGAACGGGATAGAATGAACTTATTACTGTCGGAATATGTTGGTTACTCTATCTAGTACGTCTTGATTTAGTCGTATTTGTTAATATTATTCAAAAGGTCCTAAAACAGTGCGAGTAATTGGCGCAGCAATAAAAAGTAAAAATTATTATTGCTGCGTTGGAATGGTTATAGCGCATGACTTTACCGACCATGTGCATAAATAGAGGATCTGAGAGACTTTGTTGCTCTTAACTTGCGAGCTCTCGCAGAAAGGGAGGGGGTAGACGGGCAAGAAAATTGGTGAATTGAAAGAGATGGTGTGGATCATATACAATAAAACGGTCGACCTATTGCCAGCAGACACATTCGGGCACGCATTGAAGAGGTGCGGAATGTTGTCCGATTGGACCTTCCTACAACTAACGATGAGAGGTCAAGCATCATCAACAGGAACTCTTCTCCAACGACCAAAGTGTCGACTAACTCCTACGGAGAATACCACTTAAATATTCAGTGTTTCAGTTTCAGCTTCGGCCTCTGAACACTTTCCACCTGTCTCTCATCCACTGTAGTGGCTCTGGTTTCAGTTTCCAGAAGGTCCGCGGTTGTCGTAAATGAAAGCGTTCCTCCGTTCTCCTCTTGGTGGTCTTGGAAGGACGGGAGGTCCTCTAATTTAGCTTCTTACATTGTGTTTACACCAGGCATTAGGCCAAGTTTCTTTATTGATTCAGTTAGTAATGTAGTTAGCATATGCTTCCTCATGTACTAGCTGTCTAAAAACAGCTTTAGCAGTTTCTCTGTAGTTGTCAATAAAGATCCTATAAAATCGAAAGAGATGGTGGAAGTAGCATTGAAAAGAGGAGAAGAGAGGGAGAAGGAACTAATGTTACCATTGAAAAAGGAGAGAAAAGAGAAAATGATTTGTTATTCTGTGTTGTAACTTGTTTGTTGTTTTGTTTTTTGTTTTTTTCATAAATAAAATAAGTAATGGAATATTATTTTGGGGTTAGATATCGGTAGTATCACAAACATTAGCATAGGGCCATCTTCATTCTCAATAACAGTATAATTTGGATAAACATCTTTGATCATTGATTCGTACGTCTATTCCGTTTTTCTTGACGTTTCCAACATTTTTTTTAATGGAGAATTATTCTTGTTAAGCATCAATGTATAAACCATTAATGTTATACGATTATCGATTACTTTAATAATGTAAATAACAAAGTATTTTTACTAAAAATAATCTAATTACTTTCATTTTTTATACAACCAATTTCAATTTCTAACTCGTTATTTAATTTATTCTCTACATTAAAATATTTATCGAGAGGACATGTTAATTTATTAGTAAGTAGATCAAAAATCGATTAAAAAATAGTTCGCGATCAACCATACTTAAAGTTGATAATTATTCGTTGATTGAATAAAAGTATTTAACAATGCTATAGAACCCGGTAATGCATTCATTATTATTATACCCACCAAATTTCACCTCAAGTTGAAGGAAATTTTGCTCAATTTGAAATATTTACTTAACCTGGCCTCTCTCAATAGAATGTCTAATTCCGTCACGTCTAGCAATTAGTCACATTATTAGTCATACTCAATCGATGATTTAATTAGACGTCTGCAACCTTTTTAAAAGTTATTTTCTTACCTAGTGACAGTACTAAAGTTCAAAGATATGGATATAGATACAGATGATTAATTAACTATTCTCATAAGGTCATGTTTATAGTATTCCACACATTGAGCATCAATAACTGAATTAATTACGTGACATATTTATTTTGACATGACAATGTAATTTGAACAATAAGAAAAATCGAAAGTTTAAGCACAATGTTTATTGCCTTGGTACTTTATTATTATTACAATATCTCAAACTTGTCCAAATGACTTATTGGACAAATATGGTATAGTTTACTTTGACAACAATCTGACCGTTACAAGAAATTCTTCCTTTTCATTAAATTCATTTCAACAAGGATCAGGACCTTTTGTTAATAACGCATACAAGATGTCCCAGGTCCTGTATTCATTTATTTTTCTGTTTTGGAAGCTATCATCCACATATTAATATACACCATTGTATAATTGCAAGTTGAACCAAGGTCCATATATTATCACAGACGTGTACGTACTGTGATTACCTTATATGATTGACTCATACTATACAAGCCGAAATGACCGCCGCTGCTCCCCATTATTGTTCAAGCAAACATAGATTAATGCTAGTGGAAAATAATTATTGTCTATTGAAATTAAAATGTCCCTTTGATTATTACATATTTTACAATGGATTTCTTAATACCCATAATATTTAAGATATCCGTGCTATCTGACAAAACTCCAGAATTACTGTAAAAGATCACGAATTCGTAAAGTCACTCCCGAATGATCGCGCAACGACTTCAAACCATCGCTCAAAATTATTCTTTGATACGGTAATATTGCAATCATACATCTCCCCAAAATTCTCGTTCTCTATAGGGTCTATTGTCTTTTCCTCTAAAGAGTCCGTGACTACAACCGTTTCAACAGTCTGTTCGACTATGACCATCTCAATTGCGTTTGTTTTGCCCGTTCTTTCTGATTCATCTTTTTCACGATCCATCATTTCAGCAATAAAACCAAAGTCCTTGCGCACTTTATTCCGCCACTGCTGTAATTCCATCGGAGAACGGTAATAAAGTATATCTTGATAGCTATGAAACATGTTATACGGAATAAATTTAAAGCTTGCATCGGCTACGTCAAATTTTTGGTTGGAGCTCAGGAGAACCTTGAACAAAATTAATTCGGCATATTTGCCGACAACACCCGGGATAGGAACTTTGAATACCTCGGGACAGAGGACGGCATCATCGTATATCTGTTTATCCGTGATTAAATGCATTAACTGAAGCATAGCTTGAGCAAAATTGTATCGGAAATTATCGAATTCGCTGAAAGTTGACGAAGTAGTTTCTTCGGAATTTCGCCGCACACTTCCGACGTCGTTAATGCTCAGTACACTTCTGACGTCGGTATTGCTCGGCACACTTCTGATGTCGGCATTGCTCAGCACACTTCTAATGTCGTTACTACGTCTCGGCTGTTCTCCAAAGAACGTTTTACCTATCTGGGCGTAGGTATTCATCATCGTCGTACCGCCTTTGCGTCTAACATGTTCACGTTCGACCAAGGTCAATGATGTAATTCCTGAAAGACGAGCAATCGGAATCTGATGACGATTTTTTGCAGATACAAGAACTTTCATTCCAGAAATTTGTGGTTGACATATGAATATTCCGGTATATACTGCGTCTGGCTCCAAATTAGGCACTAAATTGTTATACACGCTCATTTCGTCAAAATAAGTCTGCATAATGTCTGGAGAAACATTCAGGCTTGAGGCCATGTTTGGTGAAATCAAGCTCGACTCGACAAATTGATGTCCTAATCTCAGGAATCTCTCCTCTTCCGTTCGGTCATTCAATTGCTTTACCAAAAACAACATCTGACCTTTTCCGAGGACTTCTTGCCACCCGGGAGTAGTCATGTGTTTTCTCCTGGACTTGTCATAAAGTGTGGTGGTTTGACCTGTGTTGAGAATGTTGTCGAAAAGATACCCGATCTCGTCGAAAGTGAGGTTGAGAGATTCTGCCAGATTACGCGCATTAGAGACAAACATCTCGCGAAATTCGAGTGAATAGGGAACTTTGCGGGAGGGAGTGTCGTCTGCTACTTGCAAGTGGCTATCGATGTAGGGAAGCCTATGAAATGAGAAGTTTGCAAATAAGGAGGGATGGCGCTTGCATTAGGGAAAATGACGGAAACACGGAAACACGGAAACATGTAAAGTTACCATTCTTCGATGCTTGACCAATCGTGGGTTAGGCGATAAAGCCATTGGAATACAGGATGGCTTACAGTGAATTCGTCTTGCAAGTTCTGTCAATCAATATCTTATTAGGTTGGTTGATCAGTTATCGTCACACGAATGTTAAAATAATTACCTTCTGACGATACTCGGTGGTGATCTTTTTCATTGGAATAGTGCCATTACTCGTAACGAGAATCTGCCCTTGACTATTGTAGATTGCTGATCCGAGAACAACATTTTGTGCATGTCTTTTTGTCTTTAATTCTGTGTTCCTAGCGTAGAACATAAACACAACCAATGTTCCACAAGCCAGTAGTGACCCGGCAACGTTCACTACATAATGAATGACATAAACACATTAGCACATTAGCTATTGGCCTAATGAAAAAAAACCTTATTCACTCACATCCGATAATTAGTTTTTCTGATGTCGCAGGGACTGTTTGAATTTCTCCAGGGACAACATAATAATGCGTGCCAGCGTAGGCAGTGAAATGCATGCCGGTAACGGCAGTCGCCATGACCATTGATGCACCAAGTCTCTAAAGTGAGAGAGAGAACCATCGTAAGTGTGCATACGAACTCTTTGGGACTAGCATCCAACAGATTGTGGCGGGATTTATACCTTGTACCATTGATTCTTCCACAATGCGCGTAAAGCAAAAAAGATATAAAGAGCAGCGTTGGCTGCCACTAAAGCTATGAGCACGGCCGATATGGTTAAGATGACGTCATAACGAGCCTTGTAGAATTTTATTGCAAATTGACCGCAATAATGCATGAACGCTGGTGTATGCGTGGAAACGAGCGCATAAGTTTTCTGCACAAAAAGTTGACAGTGGTGTAAGATTTTTAATGGGCTTACCGACTGTTAATCCCGCTGTCGTTCCACCACTTAAAAGACGCAATAGATCCACTTGTGGTTGTGCCCCGATAGAATAAAACGCCAGGAGAAGCACCAAAATTGGCACTATTAACGATAGCAGTGTATACCTATTTAATAGATAAAACAGTATTAAAAAAGAAAAGAAAAGAAAAGAAAAGAAAAGAAAAAAATATACTTTTATACCATATATCGTATCTTAGTTGCTCTTCGGGTCTTCCGTCGCCAAGTACCAAGGCCTTCTGTCCAACAAAATGCATTGTCCATATCCCAACAAACCCCATACTAAAAGCTGCACCAATGAGCCGAAGCCAGTTAATAATTCCTAGATGTGATGTTCTCCGTCCGAGCAACTCTAGCGTAGTTTGTGCTCCAAGCACGGATATGAAATAGGAGAGAATAACTATCTCTGGTTTGGTCCGTTGCCTCACTTCTTGTAGTTCCCCGTCCATGTTTATGTTTCATATGCTTGATTAATTTAAACTTTGATCTCCAGTATATATGCCCACGCCAGTATCGAGTACGACAAAAAGAAATGAAGCGTGTATTATTAAATATGATGAGCTATCGGTATATGAATAATGTGAATGGCAAATTGTAGATATCGGTGCTAATGGTGTTTCTTCAGAAGACAGCGATAAATTGTTGGGATATATATATTTATATATGTCCGTATGTGTATGTCGTGCGCAATCGGTGATAACACAACGTACGTGTTTTTGTTTTTGTTCGAATCTGTTGTACTTTAAACAAATACCATCATATGGAAGTTATTAGACAGTTTTGTTTTGTTAATTATTTCCAAGAGATATATATATATTAGAGTTGGTGCTGCAAAGTATAAACCATACAGCTGATATAACCGATCTTTTGTTAAAATTTGTGCTTTATTTATAGAAAATATTGACATATTGTTCTAAAGTATTCTAGTAATGCCTTTTGCAATTATTCGGTCTAATCTTCTCCCAAAACAGTTCCGAAACTTCGGAAGCTGAGCAATAATCATTAATAAATAAAAAATCAATAATCGTGTAACACAAAAAACTGTTTGTAGTGTTCGGTCGCCCAAATAGGCCTTAGCAATAATGCACGATTAGCCAAGGAATGTCTTTGTGTACTCATAGCGAAAAACAGCAATTTAAGAGTAATCAAAAGAGCAAGTTATGAACAAACATAGTAATATATAATTAATATATAATTACATACATAATTCTTTGACATATATATCATATACGCTAGTCTTCAACGTATAACAATGAATGCTATATATGCTAACCAGGGTTGGCTAACAGTACATATACATAACCACTTTCCATCGATAAATGCGTTATTACTAAAGGTACACATTTTCTTGGAATTAAACAAACACCACACTGTTGTGTATGATTACCCAAGAAAGTTCATGTGTGCCGTACAAAATTGCGATGCCTTAATATACATGTTACACTTACTATGAATAGACTTTGATCAAGTTGCATTGTCATGTTCTTGTTCTGAATCCTGTTCCATCACGGTTTCCATACACAGAGCGTAATAAAACGGCGCTTCCTATGGAGAGAATTGTTCTCTAGACATAGCATCATAAGTAGCGTCATCATATTAATGCAAGGTATTGTTTGTAATTTGAAGGCACAACAATTATGTAATGATATTAGCTGCAACCAACGATACACTTAGCAGTCAGAAGGACGATACTGTTTAACATTACTTGTTGGAAAAGAGCGTGTAGAACACAACACCAACAGTTAATTCGCCAAGTTCTGCTACTGTCGATCAATTAGTAAATGTATTAAATAATAATAATAAGGGACCCCTTCTTTGTGCATGTTAATTATGATTGGCTGGCTTTACTTTTAAGCTCTTAATCATTTTCGATAACATAATATTATTGTTACACAGTTCTTTTTGAAAGCTAGATGAAAATACCGGCATAAGCTTACATAATTATACGAGAGCGATAAACCATTTAACGTTAAACCCATGAGTCTATTATTAGTATCTTTCATTTACCATTGGTCACTGCATTTAAACTCTAGCCGATATGGTAGCTTTTGAGCACAAGACATTGTCAAACATAATCCATCGGGGATTCCTTATCTTCAAAATATGTTTGTTATTTGCATGCCTTAAGGTTACAAGAATACTTTGGAATCAGCCTTCGCTCCGGAACAACTTTCTACCTTTTAGCTATGCAGGGTTTTGCGTTGGGTTTTAAAAGCAATCTCATTTTCCCACCAGCCGAAATTTCTTTCCACGCCAAAGTCATAAAAAAAGCGTTCAAAACCGTCCTTTATTTACTCTAATAAGAATCTCAAAGTACTACTCCAGTATTATGAACCTAAAAAATAGAGTGAATGACAAAAACGTTCCTTCTGAATAAGCGTAAGTTCTTTCACGCTTTATCTTTCTTCTTTCGGACCTTCCACGGAAAAAAGGAATATTCGACGTTGCCGGGCAAAAAAAATACTCACGTGAGGTTTCACAAGCATATATTAAAGAATGCTGTATCTCTTGTGTCTTGTATGGGCGTACTCGGGGTCGGACAATAACGCCCAATGTACAAATATTCGTCTGGAGTTTCTTTTCTGCATGCTTTCCCATATTAAAAAAGCCCTTTTAGTGATGTAAACTGACGTATTTCTGACTTTAGTAGCTGTGAGTGACGAACAATTAAAGCGTGTTTAATTACGTTTGACGGTGACTTTATTGCTGTTCAATTATAACTACAAGTATTCAGACCCTCATTTTGTTGAGCTCAATTACGAGCAATTCAAGTAGCAGAGGAGGATTGATGTGGATTTCAAAAGAGTATGAAACAAGATATTCTAGCTTACGAAAATTATACGCTGCGATTGTATTAGTCTAAAAAAAACTGTATTGAAAGAAAGGGTTGTTGTCTAGATTATGTCGGTAGCTCTGGAAATTCAGTATCGTAGAACCCAATACGCAATGGTAGCAATCTAATTTGAGACCCTGGCAAAGAATTCGTGGTCACTATCACAAATGTAAGTGTGAAAATCAGAAATTCGAGGTTCCAAACCATAAGCTAACTATGGTTTGTGTCCAAAACGTGTAACAATTGCATTTTCGGTCGAAATAAATTTTTGCAGCTTCACTTGTACGAATCCATTCCTAGTAATTCAGTTGTGATTAACGGTGAAATTCACTTTAACAAAGACATTCGTTCCACAGTTTTGCTGAAAGTTTGCTTAAGTGAACTGTTATAAAGCGATCTTCGTTAAAGTGAATTCCCCGTGTCTCTAAACCATAAACTCCTGAAGATTCTTTCTTACGACATTTAATCTCTCGTTTGGCTGTTATTGTGTCTTTGCATTTGAATTCATGATCTAGTCAGCAGCAAATTTAGCAATTAATATTTTCTTTATCTGATATTTCTGAAAAATGGTTTCGGTATTGTTTATTTTAAAAGCGCAAGTAAACGAGCTTATTTTTTCCTAAAAAAGGTTCTGACTGTATCGAAACTCCAAGTTCTATAGTTAATTTTAAATACTATATTATTTCCAGATACACAAAGTGAGATACGTCAACGCTATTGGTAACGCCAAGGGGGAATTATTCCTCCAGGCAAAGAAAGCAAGCATATGTGGTTCATCCAAGTAGTAGTGATAAAATTTAGAAATTTAACCCTTTCTCATATATGTGACACGACATTTCTCGTGTAAAAACTTAACCAGAGTTATTTTGGGAGTCTTGAACGAAAGCCGTACGAACTAATTACAAACGCTGTCTAGAGAATGTCACAGCATTAAACCTTCCTCCCGTTTTTATGACATTAAGGTTTTGTTCAATCCTGCAATTCCAGCTCTTTCATCACATGTACGTACAACTGTATATACAAATACACTAAATTTGGGTTTTCTACGCAATTTCTTGATTAATCTAAAATTATATCGAATTCGAATTCGACAGTTTTCAAGCACGATAGAGCTAAGTTTAATATTTACGTAATAATGTAAATTGCTAAATATAAATAAAATTATTAACCACATTGTTCACGTGTATTATTATACACTTGTTGTTATCTATTTAAATTCAAACTCATGCTAAATGTTACGCAGAGCTTTCCAGTTATTCCGGCAGCGTGTTTGACTGTATTGAGCGCTGCTTTGTCCAGTATATTAATGTTACAGTCCGAGACAAGGATATTACTTGCTCATCTGAATAACGACAATGAGTAGCAGCAGAATGAAAAAAGGAAAAAGTCAAAACTGAGTAGTTACTCACAGTTATATAGTGCTTGATTTACTCTAGGTATCCATTGCATCGACCGGGATTCAGGAGAGCTCTTGATTGCTCAAGCAGATAATCTTCTCAAGTTTCTTAGTATTTTGAAGTTCTTCTTTGTTCTTAGATGTCAAGATTACGTAAATTGTACAATGCCATATCTTATTGACTATAAAATTGGTCTCTTTTTGCAGCCTAGTAAGAAACGTCATAATAAACTTATTTTACTGACAAAAACAAGTAACTGGGTCACGCGATTAACATTGGTTATATGGCACCGTTCTTTTTGCATTCGCATTGTCGGATGTTTTCAGAATAACTTTCAAAAATGCTAAATTCAGCAAGAAGTTAGCTATTTATAATTTAAGTTGTATGGCCAACTATTGCGCTGTATATTCAATAATACCAATCATCAGAAGATACATTGAAACAATTACTCGATAAGATATCCCATGGCACTGCACATGTCAAGCGTGAACATTTTGATGAAAGAGTATTTGTTTGACCATGGGCAAGGCTTAGCATTAGCCCAGACAAAGAGACACAACATGAGCTTGCGCTTTAAGGATTTTGTTATAAACTACAGTGCTAAGTGAAAGTTTAGTTTGACTTATAATGTGACTGTTAAGAAAGAGAAAAATTACTAACAATCTATGTGACAATTTCAAATTTTCTATTCGTCATTCGCACCCTCTCTAAGTGCGCGCCCGATGGTGGTATGTAATCAACTCTATGGGCTGGAGCGTACAGTATTACACGGTTAATACAGATAGTAATCAATATATAGGATGTGTGGGTTATTCACGATTCTCGGTAGTATACGGCAATTACATTCCGACGAGTATCAAATTTACGGTCGTGTGTTATGGAGACGAATATCAATTGATATATATTCCTCCCCAAACATTCACATCAGCGTTGCCACTCGCAAAATATACGCAACAGATGTAACAGTAATACAGGCAGTATCAAAAAGTCGTTATTTCATAAGCTACAATCATTGAGTTCATCGATTAATATAGAAAGAGGAGGCAGTAGTCAAAAATAGGCGAAAGTGGCAGTATAAGAAGCGCGACTTTCCGATAGAATTCATCACGTTCCTTAATGTCCCTTAAATGTTCATGTTATTTAACCTCAATTAATATTCCTTTCTAATAAATAAATAATTCTTTATACTCTGAAACACATTATTAATGATTCGTTCTCT